GGGTTGGATTTCTAGATTTCTAATAAATATGTTCTTCAAGGTGAGAGAGTGAGAGAAGCGGTGGTGGGCACAAAGACATCTGTTGGTATAAATAACGGATAAATGAGTCAGCTGAAAGATTAGACATGGATTCTTCTTTCTAGGGCACTCTAGGACTTCGACACTTGCATAGAAATGCAAGATTTTTGGTTTGTTAATGTGAGGGTCACTGTTTCCTCTAGATGCCTTCAAGTGTATCTTATACTCAGACCTCTCTAAAGCATATAGCATCGTCCTGATGAAATTTCATGATTCTCTATGACAATTTCAATACCACAGCTAAAACTAATATGCTTTTTAACAAATTATTTTATAAGTTGAATGTTAATATACAACATTAACAAATTCAATGAAAACTGACATGTTGAAATCAAGTATTTTTAATCGAACAATCAATCAAGAAAGCATTCAAGTTAACAAGTAAATTATTCAAGTATATAGTCAGTAATAAAATGAGAACAATGATACTAATTACAATAGAACAAACAGCCTAAAATTAGTTTTTCTTGTCATTTTTAAAAAAAATTTATATGTATATATAAATGATTGAATATTATGTCAGGTATTGTTATTGCATTGGTATTGAATATTTAAAATGCTTGTCTTGATGGGCAATCCCAGAGTGTATAAAAGACATCTGATCATGTCAGCTGTTATTTCAAAGATATAAAAAATGTCTGCAGAATCCTTCATGAAAATGTAATAATTTTGAAGCAACTTAACTTTTCACATGACGTTATCAAGCCTTCTCATTTTTCAGCGCTCCTCCAACCGCCTGTTGTATAGAGATCGCATCCTCTGATCCCATTCTATTATGGAAAGCTCATCTTTAATTATCCAATCAATTCCTGATGCATAAAATCAAGTCCTGCCCTATAGGTTTTTTTTTTCCTCATTGAATATCTTGTTTCATTCAGAAATGCGTTATGATGGAAGTACTGTAAAATGAGTTGCAAATTGTGTTTGTGATTAACTCAAACTACAGTTATTAAGATTAAATGGATATGCTAAAATATGCTAGTTGAAATGAAGTTGGAAAAAAAAACAGAAATATTACATGAAAAACTTAAAAAAGGTAACACTATATAGAAAAATATTTAAATTATATTAGAAATATAAAAATAACTTTAAGAGTCACTGCTGTTGAGAATGATCAGACTTGAAGCAAGCAAATTCTTGTTATAATGGGTTTACAAACACAAATTACAGTAAACAATACATCAATGATCACTGACACCAAAATAGCTGTTTAACCACACTCAGTGCCTCTTTCTTTTCTCCCATTCTCTCTCTTGCACAGGGTGTGTTATAGTGCTCATGGTGCATACGCCCAGAGTAAACTGGCCCTGCTGCTGTTCTCCTACCACCTGCAGAACCTGTTGTGGGTCAGAGGTGACCCTGTAACAGTTAATGCAGTGGACCCAGGCATGGTGGACACAGCCCTGTATGGCAATCTGTCTAGCCTAGCCCAGCTGGCCAAGAAACCTTTCGCTAAACTGCTCTTCAGGGTAAGGCAAATCATATTTCCCTCTATAAAACCTCATTAATTTACTAGAGGCTAATAATTGCCTGGACATTTTTGTCTCAGAGAATTCTTGAGGTGTAGAGCTTCAGTTTCACTCTTTTTTGGCTTTGTTACCACTTTGTATGACAGGACAGAGAGAGAACGGGAAATGAGGTGGAATCAGACTAGACTATAGACACTAGAGTGAATGCACCACTTTTAAGTGGGTGTAATTAAAAATGCAAATTTTCAATATCAAAAAGATAGCAATTATTTTCAGATTATAGACTAACTGTTAAATGAAAAATATTAAAAATCTGTACTATTTATGATAGATAGATAGATAGATAGATACATAGATAGAAAATATGAAATATGGGTAGCTATTATTTTGAAATGAATAGATGATGAGAAGGTTTTAGCTGAAATAAAATAAGTTCAAGATTTATATATTTTATATGTATTTTTTATTTATTAATTTTTTATTTTTTTTGTGGTTTTAATTGAACTATAATAACCCTGGTTGGGACCCCTATTATTTAAAAGCTCTCTTAAAATTTTCTCTCCCTTTCTTAGCTCTTTCGAGTGCTATGTGATGTCAAAATCTAAAAATCGGCAGAAGCATATTCACAATTAAATATCAGCAAATAAATATCCAAAACTGAATAATACTGATAAATTGAAAAATAACTAAAATCCCTGTCATTACTTACCAGTCCAGTATAGAATTCCCAGCGTTCATATCTAAAACGCATTAAATTTAGTTTAGCAAGTTCATGAATATTTTCCCTCAGACACGTTGCGCTTGTGTGTAACACGCTTTACAGTTACTGACAAAGGTGCACTGTTGAATGACAACACTTTGTGACAAACCCACCTGCCCCAATATGTTGCAATAAGGCATTGTGGCAGATCAGTGTATCCCGGGAGACACTGTTTTCACTCTTTCTTTTGTTCTTCTCCATCTGTCTGTCTCACCCAATCTCTTGGAATTCGTATTTAAATCTAAAGGTTTGGAGCCACTGTGTCAGGGTGAACAATAATTGGATTTATATTGTCTCTTTGCTTCAAAGAGAGTCCCCACAAGGATAGCTGACCAGACGTGTGTGTGTGTGTGTGCATGTGTTAATCAGATGTGATTCTTTCATCTTCTTTAAGAGTATTTGTTACACCTATTGAATTTCAGATCAGTGTAAGAAAATGAAAACACGAATGAGAAAGGAAAAATAAAATATACAATTACATACATGCGCACACACATATACATATATAATATCTCCAGATTTTTAATGTGATTTTAGACTTTTGGATCTCACTGTTTATGTTGTATGTTACATGCCACCTTATACAATAACTACCCATCTATGAGCTCACTGATGTGTTGGCTCAAAATGATCAAAATTGCTTCCATTTTCGCAGGTTGTTTTACTGTCATCCCTCAGCCAATCAAAGTGTTTCTATCTAGTCCATTAAATTCAGAGTTTGTGCTAAAAGAGCTTCAGAGATGATCAGAATAGCAAACAGCAGCACGTGATAGTGTTGCACGCTCTGCCAGAACAGTATATAATTCATTTTTATGTGTGAACAACTCTCTTTAGTTATGTGCAATAGACAGGGTGAGGTAGCATATGAAAACCACAACAATGGGCAGTGACCTTCGCCTCTTTTCAAGGGGAATTATTTGTACTACAAAAGATAATTCAGTGTGGAATCTGTTGAATACAAATGTAATTTCCGTCAAACTCGTACCCTTGTTGAGGTGAGGTGTGTTGATATTGATTCATTGTGATCATTATCAGCACGGCAATATCCTTTTGCAGGGTGCTTATTTACGAGTCAGGTTGAGTCACGGTTCACAGTGTCCATTATGAATGCGGCACAGGAATCGCTGTAGAAAACCCAAAAATTACAGTGTTCAGCGAGGACAGTGTGCTCTACGTGTTTAAAAGGAAAGATGACAAATTATGAATGTCTTGAGAGGAAATATTGTTATGACTAAACAGGCAAAGGCTTTCAAAATAGGAGCACACCCACTGTAGAGAATACAATTTTTCGGCACTTGGAGAAAAGAAAAAATGTGATAGAGAAGGTTTATCCAAGAGCAAAAAAATATTGTTGAAGAAAAAATGTAAAAGATAATGGTGTGTTTTAATAGGTTTTTCTTTTTCTTTTTTCCCTGAAAAAGAGGGCTTGCTGTGCATGGTGTGAATACTGAATGCGTATACAATTTCTGAAGTTTATTTCTGGAACCGTCTGTATTCAGGGAAAGAGAGCGATATGACGTCTGTCCTTCCTATAAATCAGATGTGCTCTCAAAACTGAAGTATACTTCCTTTTAAACACTCCTTTTACACCAATTTTCCACCAACATTTTCCTTTTTTCACCTGACACCTTTTCCAATTGTCAGAACCCAAACCGAGGAATAAAAAATGTTTGGATATAAAACATTTTATGGGAGGGTGGTATGACTAAAATCTTCACGTTATCTGCATCATTTTCCCTTAATATTCAACAAAATAATGCTTTACATATTAAATAGTCATGTGGTATTTTTAGATATCCCAGTGAATTAATATATACAAATACAAGGTACTTCATCTCTGTTTTGTTTTGTTTTTTTCTCTGTTTTTATTTGGAACTTGATGGATAAAAAAATACTTATGTGTTACTTATTAAGAAACAATTGAGTTTCATTATCATTAGGTAATGCATTAGGTATTGTGAACAACATTTTTACAGATTTTATTAAATGTCAGTTTGTAATTATATTGGTAATTCATGTTTGTTTATAGAATATAATGAATATAATGTATACTTGAATTTGAAATGTATTAGTTTATGTAGAAATTGACAAGTTAATAAATTAATCTAGATTACTCAATCCTGTAAAGGTATTGTTCTCTCATGTCATGTTAGCTATAACTAATGTTAACGTATCGAATAGATATTTTATAAAATATGATAACTGTAAACCTCAGCTTCTTGGGGCTTTTTGCGTTATTATGAAACGACCCCCGGGTTCACAGACAAGACTTAAGCCTAGTGCCAGACTAAAATGTAAGTCTGAGCTATGTCAACTGAAAGAAACTTGCACTGACTGATCTTAAAATATATCAGTGCCTTTGTTTTGGCTCAAAATGCACACCAGTAATGTGTTTTCTAAGGCACGTTTATGAAAAATTACTTAAATGTCCTAATTGAACTATGGCCTAATCCTGGCTTAGTCTAAGCCCTGTCTGTGAAACCAGGCCATAGTTTTCTAAATGGTTGAGCTACATTTAAAGCATTTGTAAAATAGCAGTCGATCCAGTCTGCATTTTCTCGTTATTCCCTGTTACTTCACGTTATATACCCTGAAAAGTTGATATAAAGCAAATCCTTTATCAAATTGTTTTCACACAGAAATTGCTAGTTAATTTCACAAATAATTGTGAGGAATCAGCAAGTAACACATTGAATTACATTGAATTAGACTACATATACATTTTTTAAAGGGGTCATATGATGTTGCTAAAAAGAACATTATTTTGTGTATTTGATGTAATGAAATGTGTTGCACCAAGAGCTTGTAACACTCCAAAGAGAAAGGAAAAATTTAAATCGCATCATATGACCCCTTTAAGTAGAAATTTTATTTTTTTTCTTCTTTTTTTCTTCTTTTTTTGTAACATGTACCCAATAATCTTTATGACTTTGAAAAATATTTTTTTACAGTGTACTGTCACTCACATAAAAATAATGTAAAGCAGCCCTACTCACTGATAGCCATGCAAATAAATGTATATACGACCCAGCAAAATCTCTACTGGTTGACGCATTTCTAGCATTGCGGAATATATACTGTAAATGTTGTGATCAGCCCTATAAAACAGTATATAAAGGTGTCGAGTCTTTCTGTACCGCAGCTGTTGTTCCATTTCACCTTAAGCACACAGGCCCCGTATGGCCCAATACTAACAGCTTTAAGAGAGAAGCTTTTCTCACACTCTTTGTGCTGTATTGATTCAGCTCAGTATAGAGAAACCTTGTGGCTCCTGTAGTTTAATCCAAATTCCCTCAGACGAAAGAGAAAAACAGTGCTCAGCCCCAATTGCCTGGCCTTAAAGAGAGCCGTTTGAAGTGCAGAATCTGGCAGCGGTTTTAGAGAAGATCGGCTGTCCTGTGTAATTGATACGTCTGGAGGTCATAGTCCATCTGATCGTCTGCATATCAATCTCACCAACTGTGCAGCCCACAACAACTCTGTGACTGTTCTTGAATGGCCCAGCCAGATCCCTGACTTAAACCCAATTGAGCATCTCTGGAGAGACCTAAAAATGGCTGTCCACCAACGTTTACCGTCCAACCTGACAGAACTGGAGAGGATTTGCAAGGAGGAATGGCAGAGGATCCCCAATTCCAGGTGTGAAAAACTTGTTGCATCTTTTCCAAAAAGACTCATGGCTGTATTAGATCAAATGGGTGCTTCTACTAAATACTGAGCATTTTTCAGTTTTTCTTTTTTAATAAATCTGCAAAGATGTCAACAATTCTGTGTTTTTCTGTCAATATGGGGTGCTGTGTGTACATTAATGAGGAAAAAAAATTAACTTAAATGATTTTAGCAAATGGCTGCAATATAACAAAGAGTGAAAAATTTAAGGGGGTCTGAATACTTTCCGTACCCACTGTATATATTATATTTAGTGTATTTGAATATATTCCATGCTATAAAAAAGCCATGATACCAAATGCATTGACTAATGTTAACAATTTAAACCTTGTTCTAAAGTGTAACCAAATGACAAATTGACAGTCCTAATACAGATATAATACTAGTATTTTGCCGCAGGTTTATTTACCAAAGCAACTTACAAGAAAGTGCAGATGTAAGTGGCAATTACCAGAGCTTGCAGCTAAAGATATATGTCAAGTACTAGGGTTAGACTTCAAGTGCCCAGAAGAACACTACAGCACAAATGAAGGGACGCTGTAGCAACTGCATTACTGTAACATTGCGATGGCTGTCACGTACAAGGATGAGTGAAGTCAACGACATTGGCAGAAATGACAAATTTATATTTTTACTCCAGGAATCGGGAACATCTTTCCTGTCCTTCTTAGATAGTGTCAGTTTCAATATTCTTAACGTGCACACAGCTGTGTTGACTTCATCTCTGATTCCTGTCCATCCACAGACGCCTGCAGAAGGAGCATCCACAGCCATCTACGCTGCAGCTGCCTCCGAGCTGGAGGGGATCGGAGGACTGTATCTGTACAACGGACGCAAGACGGAGTCTTCAGCACTTTCTTATGACGAACGGCTGCAAAACAAGTTGTGGAAAGAAAGCAGAAACCTTGTGGCTCCTGTAGTTTAATCCAAATTCCCTCAGACGAAAGAGAAAAACAGTGCTCAGCCCCAATTGCCTGGCCTTAAAGAGAGCCGTTTGAAGTGCAGAATCTGGCAGCGGTTTTAGAGAAGATCGGCTGTCCTGTGTAATTGATACGTCTGGAGGTCATAGTCCATCTGATCGTCTGCATATCAATCTCACCAACTGTGCAGCCCAACTTTAAGATCTTCTGATGTGGAAGCGAGCCATAACATTTGCAATCAGAAGGATAATTTGAATAATTAACCATTGCAGCTGGAAAGCATCATGTGTAAACATGAGGCAAGTGTCACATGAGGAAGCATACAAATTAGAACTGACAATAAATAAATTGAATTGCATAATCAAATTGGGGAGAAGCCCCAAAATAAAGATAATTTAAAACATTACAGTGTTAAGTAATGCATTCAATAGACATTACAAAAAGTCGTTGGTTTTCATTTGAGTTGCATTTTGCATCAAGAGCACAGGATTTTGAGATGTCATGTCAAAACAGTTAAAGGGGTTCACCCAAAAAATGAAAATTCTGTCATAATTTATTAATGTTTATCTAATCCTGTATGACTTATATTCTTCTACTGAACTCAAAAGAAGATAATTTGTAGAATGTTGGTGACCAAAACCATTTTGTCATTCATTGACATCCATTGTGAAAATGACATGAAAATTCTGTCATTATTTACTGACGCTCCTTTTTGGGTGAAATATTTCTTTTGTAACACATATTGTTCTGTTTCATTCAAGTGTGTTTCAGGAATGTGTCCTGTGTAAAGAGCTCTTTTCTCATTCACTGACTCACAAAGAAAAAGAAATGTACACACAGGTCAGGAGGCAGGATTAAATGTGTTATATAAAAAAATATTCATATAGTTTTACAACATTTATTAATATAGGTTAATGTTAATTTCTACATATACTTACATTTTAACAAACTGTTTAAATTAGCATTTAGTTAAGCCATCTACGCTGCAGCTGCCTCCGAGCTGGAGGGGATCGGAGGACTGTATCTGTACAACGGACGCAAGACGGAGTCTTCAGCACTTTCTTATGACGAACGGCTGCAAAACAAGTTGTGGAAAGAAAGCTGTGCTCTAGTGGGTCTCCAGCAGACCTGAGAGAACATCAACACTGAGCTCCTGATCACTGAGACCTCGGCCCTCTTCTGATAGTTCATATAACGTCCGCCTGAAAAATTTCAGCCTCATGACTTTTTAAGTTAGTGTCCCTATTTGCCAAATGTTCATTCTCTAAAACTGTCCCTTGGTCTTTAAATCATCTCATTACCTTTATAGTGTTCACACAAGCCGTCTTTTAACATCTTGAGAACTTGTACCTCAACCAAACGTGACCAATACTAACAAGTGCACTGTTTTCCGTCCTGAAACTGCTCTCTTCCTCCTCACTTGGGAACTCTCCGAACACTTTTTCCCTGATAAAAAAATAATTTTGACTAATAATCTAATATATTGTTCTCTGCTACGCCTTTTTGGGTGCTTAATGAATCAGGATCGTCGCAATGGCTGTTCTGCTGATTTTCCTTCGGATTTTGTCAACAGACTATAAAGACAATCGAAGGATAAAAGGATTATATGTGAAATCTCCAGTTCTCTAAACTGGGCAAATAGCAGCCTGTCTCTGTTGATTCTCTTTGTTTCCGTGCTGGGATTTTGCATCTTTCTTTGTTAGTATAGTTGTATATCTTCAGTGGCGCCTATGTTGGGTTATTCTGCCCATCAGTCAGTGTCATTCCTCCCTCTGCCTACCGCATCTAATTATCTAAACACAAACTGCAGAAGGGCTAAGCGGGAAAAACATTTGTCTGGCTAAGCCCGTCATTTTTCATTCCTCCACTGTGCAATTTGCAATGCTGTGTTTTGAATCTTCCACAGAGACGCCAGGTGCCTCACCTACATTCACCTTCTTTCTCCCAGAGGGAGACTGTTCTGTTCGTGACTGTGACGTGCTGAGAATTTGTGATTCCAATGTGCAATAATGTGTAGTTGTTTTTTTTCAACAGACCTTGAAACTGAAATATTTAAAATATGTGCACATATTTTATAAATCAAGATTTTCCTTTGAGATGTTGAGTCTTAACTTTTTTTTTTTTTTTTTTTAATGTGTGTTTATTCAAGGTGGGTGTGCAATAGCAAACCAGCTGATTGAGTCTCGAAATAATGGAAAATTGGAAAGTTTTCCAACAGTAGATGACGCTTCATAAATACCACTATATAAAAGTACTGTAAAATTAGTTACTTTCTACCCGCTGGTGTCTGTGACAACTTGGAGGTGTCGTCTCAAGTTTGGCTGCTTTTGGTAAAGTGCTACTTTGACCTGTTAAATTCTAATTTAAATGTACTTGTGTCAAAATGTGCCTGTCATTTGTGTGTTTTATGTGGCGTCAGTCATGCAGTTGACCAAATGTGTTCACATTTAAACATCTCCCAACTAATTTGGTTCCTTCTCTGTATCGTACGATGAATGGGATGCGAAGCTTTTGGGTAAAAGAGAGATGAAGATATTCACCCATTTGCATTGCTTTTGAGAATTTCTTTTTTTTTTTTTCATCGCCATTTTGCTTATTGTACTGTAATTATGCACTAATGGAAGTGCTGCTGTATTATAATTTACCTAGCATTAAAGGAAGTGTAATTCACTTCCATGCACATATAATAATGATCCAATAGATAAATTATATGGTTGTGATACTGAGAAATAAATTAATAACAATATTTGGAAGCACCAAATGGTTGATGATAAATTAATCGAGAAACAGACTCAGTACAAAATGTGCAAAGAGGATTTTGCGTACTTGGCTCCTCAGCCACATGCACTGTGAATGAGCCCAATGTTTCTGTCATTTGTGTGTGTGGAAGAGAGGGATGAAGACGGAGAAAAGAGTGCAGCATTATCTTGCCAGGAGACTCTGAAGTGTCTCATCTTCAGCTCTTGTAGAAAACAGAGTGAATGAGTTTCTCTTCTAAGGCTCTTGTCTAAATAAAAACACTGATTTTACTGTTGCAGTAGCTGTTTTTTTTTCTGCTAATGGTGAAGTGTAAATGAAAATATGGAACGTAAAATCCGATTTATGTTGTGTGGGTTTTAGAAATTGTGCGGGGCCGGTCATTTGCCGTTTCAAGGACACAGAGCAGAACTCATATAATTATCAGTTGTCATATAATCTCTATTCAATTGAATAGAATAAAAAAAATGACTACATTCATCCTTTGTTCCAGACATTTCATTGAAAATTATTTAGTTCTCCCTAATGAAAGTTCAGTCACGCATAGTCACATGTAACATGTGACACTTTTTTCACTGTTTTAAAGTAATAGTTGTACATTTTTTCTTAAAGCAGATGGTACATTTCAAGTGATGGCTGTTGCAGACCGTGCGTGTGTGTGTGTGCGTGTGTGTGTGTGTGCGTGTGTGTGATGTGACCTGAAATCCTCTACAGGGGCAGATGACTCATTTTAGGTTTTTTTTCTGTCATGAATGCCTTTGGCAGTTTGTGGGACATCCATCTCAAGCACATCCTAGCACCCACTCTCAAACATACGCAATGCTATGCAAGACTCACCTCGTTCACCTTTTTAAATACTAACACATTTGATTGCTTTTTAAGTGATACTCTTGAACGAAAGATCTTGCTGATCAGATGTGGCCTTTTACATGTGCACCTATTCCTGCAGTAGTCTTCAAGCGTCAATGATTCAGTGGACTACTTCTGATAAACGCAAAAGAAGATATTTTAAAGAATGTTGGTAATCACATAGTTTTGTTTAACATTGACTTCCATTCTATGGACTAAAAAACACGGAGACATTTCTCAAAATATCTTCTTATGTTCCACAGAAAAAGGAAAGTCATCCAGTTTTGAAGTGTCACTGTTAAGTCACATTTATATTTATGTTTATAACAGGAACTCGTCTAAAGATATGACTGGGGTTGTGTTTCAGGCTGCAGTTTGACAAAGTTTAGGATTAAAGTTTAATGCACACATCTCATCTCTGATGTTATATTCTGTATGGATTTGTGTTGCTCCTGATGAAATCAAGAGCACTGAACCTTGCATAATCATATTTCTTAGAATATTTTAAGCAAAAGAGAAGCTTCATATTTAATATGTAGCCTATGGGCATAACAATTAGGCCCTTGAAAATAAAATAAATTTAAAAAAAAAATGTAAGAATATTCCTAGAAATCTCCTAAAGCCCTATATGCATATAAGGTGTCCCCTTGCACGGTTAGTAGCTTGAGTTATTCTTAACAACCTATCATTTTTCTCTCATTTTCTTCGATGAGTATTTGATGGTAACATTATAGAACCTATAGAAGATATGAAATTATTCTACAGATTCACCTTGGAGGTCAGGTCAAGTCACTTTTATTTGTATAGCGCTTTATACAATACTGGTTGTGTCAAAGCAGCTTTACAGTGTTAAAACAGGAAAATAGTTTGTTAATAATGCAAGAAGACAATAACAAATAAATAAATCAAGTAATTTTTCCAGCTAAAGTCAGTTCATTGATGATGAACGACACAGGTGCGACCCAGCTAATGCGTGACTATGCCTACATTTCTGCAAGAATTCTGCTAAGACCTCATTCCACTGGTGGAATGACCTACCTATCTCCATCCGGACAGCTGAATCCCTCACAAGTTTCAAGAAACAACTGAAACCTATCTCCTCCATGAGCATCTAATTACCTCCTCCTAAAAATTTTTTTACAAATAAATAAAAAATATTATTTCTGTCATGACAACTCTCAGAGGGATTGGCATGGTAATGTACATGACAATGTTAATGTATTTGGTCTTGCTGGAATAGATCTGCTACGCTGCTGCGGCAGAGCAAGTGCCGAGACTTGCTACTGCCAATACATCCACAACATGCTGCTGTGAGCATGTAAGAAATATTGCTGCTGCAAATATAACATACATGAAATAACCCCCACAGCATACATGAATTACCTCGTAGCACACCTAT